AAAGAAAGAAAGAAAGAAAGAAAGAAAGAAAGAAAGAAAGAAAGAAAGAAAGAAAGAAAGAAAGAAATAAATTAAACTTTATTGATCTCACAATGGAGAAAATAACTCTCTGCATTTAACCCATCCCCCTTGGGGAGCAGTGGGCTGCCATTGTGTGGCGCCCGGGGAGCAGTGTGGGGTTAAGGATCTTGCTCATTGACCCAGAGTGGCAGTCTGTGGGAGTGGGGCTCGAACTCTGCACCTCAGGAGGCGTCATTCCCCAAATAGGACCCCCTGCCCCTCAGAAGGGCCTCAAAAAATTAGAATAACTTGTTGTTCCTCTGCACAGAAATCTTTAGTAAAAGGCTAAATATTTATACGATCTGATGACAAACAAGAGTCTAGATAGCAATAATAATTTTTTTCTTGCTATATTAGAAGTTTTAATTATACATTTTTATATTCTGGACAACTTCATATATTTGACAACATATGGATTGCACCTGAAAAGTTATACCTTTAAATTGAATTCTTATTGTTAGCTGATTTGTAATCAGTAATTGCTGGTGGACAGTGTTGCGATCTTGTTGCTGTTTAAACAGTTTCATACTGAGCAGGTGGACATTCTTCCTTGAGGGCAGTGTGAGTTCACAGGAAGAGTGCCAGCACTTCATGTTTCCAAGTTAAGAACCAACTGAATCATTTGTCTATATCATGCTACAAGCGCCTCAGCAGTAGCCATAGATCACTGGTGAAGGAGCTGAGATGTCTCCAAGTGCACCAAACTAACATGTCAAAGTGTCATTCTGACACTCCAAAAATATGTAGTAAAATATTTATTAAGGAAGGGAAATGGATCCAATAAGAGAGACTGAGAAACTTAAGACCAGAGAGGGGTTTGTATCCGATGAAAAAAAGCAAACAAAAAGGTGGAAAACTGATAGGATGCGTAGTTTGTGATAACTTTATGACTATTTCTATGTAAAGAAGGCTGCGAAAATTGGTATTAAATAATTGCAATAAGCATTAAAAATATAAGCAAACATGAATAGGAATGGACAGACTGTACAGACATGTTTAAAACTACATATCTCTTACAGACATGTACATGCTGTAGCAAACCTATACTTAAACACAAACATGCTGAGCAGTGACAAGTTCAGGTATCCCTAGAAAGCTCCAGCATGATACTGAGCCATTTATAATTTGAGGAGTCATAGATCTAGTTTTATGAGATTAGTTTGTTAGTGTCTGAGGGTTTTTTCTTCTTTCCTACGACCTCAAGACAACATCAAAAATACCTGATGGCCTTGTCACGTGAAGCAGTTATTTTTTCTCTCCCACAACAATCAGCTGGGTGGTCTTCATGTGGCAAATAATCAACAGTAGAAATGGTTGTTGGATATAAAGTCGGATTAAACACTATTTAACTATAAATGCACAAGATGAAATAGTTTCATATATATACAACATGCTTAACTGGAAGTACAAAGCATTTCTCTTAGGCACTATAGAAAATATGTAGGAAAATATCTTAAAGATATTATAAGATATATATTTATGAGTTGATGAAAAAAGGAACTTGCTGAAAATGAAAAAAGTCTATCCCAGGAGGTTTACTGTAGGTTTGTTTTCTTTTACAGTTCCTTATTTTTTTAGATATAGTTGTTTTTTCTTGAAAATCTGTTAAAACTAGAGAATTTAATAGAATACAGATTTTTGTTTCTTCTTCCCCTAGTTGTCACATCTTTGTCATTCTTTGCATGTTTGGCTCAGTGTTTTTATGGTCTTACTCCTATGTGGGTATTTGTATCTTTACCATTCAGTGCGTTTTTGATGTATTTCTGAGGAATTGCCTCCCCCTCCCCCTGGGGGTTGTCCCCAGTCATTTCCTCATTCTGTCTTTAATTTCCTCCTTTGATGGGCAGCTTTGTTGCAAGCCCACATACCACAAACAAGCAGCCATAGTATATGCTTCAATACTCCACCAGAACTCTCCAGCCTGTTTATTTCTATCGTAGAAAACGAAAACGTTTTTACATGCCTGTTTTATTAACTGCATGCACACAGATCTTACTGACATACTTTTTAACACTATAGTTTAAACTTCTAACCTTGTTTTTCCTGTTAGACTGGTCTTACATCAACAAAGTATTTAGTGAAATGGGTGGCCAATGTGTTTTTCTTCTAGATTGATCATGGATTTTATTGCATATTTATCAGTCTCTTTCTCCCTTTTCACTTCTTACTTTTTCTGTGATTTTTTAAATAGGAAATGTTCCTGCGTTTTTCATTTTTTTAAACTCATGTAGTTTGTCCCTTTATAGTTGTGCCTTTTTGCCAGCACTTAAAGCAAGGGGGTTTGTGGATGAACATTAAATGCTTCAACCAGATGATTTAAAAAAAAATTAAGTCATGAAACAGGCCTAGACCAAGATGATGGTACCCTTAACCTATTATTTTGTTTCACAAGCTTTTGTGGCAATCACTGCAGTCAGTTCCTGTAACTGTCAATGAGACTTCTGCTCCTCTCAGCAGCTATTCTGGTCCACTCCTCATCAGCAAACGGATCCAGGTGTCTGCAATTTGAAGGCTGCTTTTTTCCCCAGATGGCATGTTTCAGCTCCTTTCAAAGATGCTCAGTAGAATCTATCTCAGGGCTCATAGAAGGCTGTTTTTAGCTGTGTGTTTTGGGTCATTATCCTGTGGAAGACCCATGACCTGTGAATGTGACCAAGCTTTCTGAAACTGGGCAGCACATTTTCCTCTGGAATCCCTTAATAGTCTTAAGATTTAATTGAACCCTACAGAGATTCAAAACACCCTGTATCAGATGAAGCAAACAGAGCCTCATCCACATCTCACAGTAGGAACAGTGTTCTTTTCTTGATTGACTTCATTTTCCTATCTGTGAACATGGAGATGATGTGCCTTAGCAAAAAGTTAAATTTTTGTCTCATCTGTCCATAGGACATTCCTCCAGAAGCTTTGTTGCTTCTTAACATGTAGTCTGGCAAATTTTAGTCTGACTTTGGCTCAAACAATGATGGATGATGTGATCTGACACTGATTCTTCTTGAACTTGAAGTTTACCTTTAATCTCTTTAGAAGTTTTTCTGGACTCTTTTGTTAACAATATTATTACATATTATCTTTCTTTTTGATTTTTCGTGAAATGCCCTCCTGCAGCCACATCCAGGGAGATTGGCTACAGTCCCACAGGAATATCAAGATGCTTGGAGATGGACTTATAGCCTTTACCTTTAACATGCCTGTCAATAATCTCTTTTCTAATCCCCTAAAATAACTCTTTCCTTTGCTTCCTCTGGTCCATGTTGAGTGTCGTACACACCAAGCCACCAAACAGCATAGTGACCTGTAGTCCTATATATAGGCCCACTGACTGATTAAAAGATTTTAAACAGCTGTAGTGCTAATGGATGGACACACTTTGATTTAACATGTCCCTTTGCTCACATAGTTTTCAGTCTTTTCTAAGGGTACCATAATTTTTTACAGGCCCGTTTCATTAGTGTATTGTTTTTTGAAACATTCTGTTGGAAGCAGGGGGAGTGGAGGGGAGTGTGGCCTGTTGGAGGGGAGTGGCGGCTGAGCAAGACCCTTACTGTAACCCCCCACTGCTCCCCGGGCGCTGCACAGTGGCAGCCCAATGCTCCCCAAGGGAATGGGTTAAATGCAGATAGTTCCTTTCGTTGCTCTGTACTTGTGACAGAGTAATAACAATAAAAAAAACTGGCATGGTTGAAAAGCAATGTCTGATTAGGATTATGAGGACCGTTAATAAACTGTCTTTCGGGTTGAAAAAGCGGCAGTTGGTCTGCCCAGGAGATTTATGCAAATAGCTGTAAGGCCCAGTATGTTCCGTCTTTTGAATTAGCCTGCTTCTCTTCATTTTCTCTTTCTGTTTTTAGTCTTACCTTTGTGTATTTGACCCCCACCCCCCACCCCCAAGTGTGAGGAACTGCCTAAAGAGTTTCTCTTGAAAAATGCTAATCGGATGATTCATTGTTCAACTTGAGTTCCCCCTCTGCTCAGGTTGACAGCATAATATCTCTATGAGGAGAAATATGTTTTCAAATGTGAAAATGAAAAAAGTGTTCCTTTAGAAAGAATTGAAAGGCCATAAACATTTCTATGCTCAGTGAGCACACTGCAAAGAAAAAAAAGTATTATATACCTGGTATTTGTTGTTGTAGGTTTTCAGTGACATACGCATAGACTTAGGTTTGTAACATTAAGAAAAGGACAAGAATACATCTTCATCTAGTGGCAGAACGTCATTCATCTTGTGGACCTGACTAACTGGTTTCTTATGTGCGTATGTTAGACGCTATTGTTTAGGCTCACAAAATTCTTATTCTCCTATATTAAGCAACCTTTTTGTATAATAACTACGTTTCATAATCCTTCCTTAAACTAAAGCTTTTTGGCTTTTTTGCACATCAAAGACATGACTGTATTTAAGTGATTTCCTGCATTTCTGCCCTAAGGTCTATGCTGTTGGTGGATATGACGGGCAGAGCCGCCTGAGCAGTGTGGAGTGCTACGATTCCTTCTCAAACCGCTGGACAGAAGTAGCTCCAATGAAAGAGGCTGTCAGTTCTCCAGCTGTGGCCAGCTGCAGCGGCAAGCTCTATGTTATCGGAGGAGGGCCAGATGATGAAACCTGTTCAGACAAGGTGAGAAGCATCTGTGTGCTTTCCCTTCCACAGGAGAAACACAAAAGGGTGCCAGGAGTGTCTTTTCTCTTTAACAAGAGGATTTCAATCATATTATTTGGTTTGTTGACATTGCTGAGTGATAGATCAGCCCTGAAGCTTAAATCATGTTTAAAAAAAAGTTGAAGGAATATGCTGCTCTTATCCCTTTTCTTCTTCCTTGTCTCTAATTTTGAATTTGCAAAATTTATAAGAATAAAATAAGTAATTTGTAAGTAGAAAATCTTTTTTTTTCTTTCAGGTAATGTATTCACTGCAGACAGTATCTACAGGCCTGATCTGGTTCAGAGACTTTTTATTGAATCAAGATCTGCAACTCATATAAAACATGTTGCAACAAAACCTTTCAAACCTTCCTAAACTGCTGTATTCATAATAGAAACAGAACAAGAAATCAATTGACTGGGATGCTGGAGAGATGTTGAAAGGAGCTGGATTTTAAAACTAATGTAGGATTGGCCAAAAATGATATAGTTCGACAAATAAAAGCTAAGACTAAACAATGATTAAATACATTTTCAATTTTATTATTAAGCAGATAAAAAGCATATTTATCCTATGTTCTGGTTAGGTGAAGTGAGATGTCTGCTGAAGATCTGAACTGCTCTGGTCAATTATGCAGAGCCTTTCTTGAGAATCCTAAATTTCCTCGGAAGTATTTCTTATATGTAATCTTAACGAGTAGCTAAATGTTTGCCTACGTTAAGAAAAGAATTTTAAGGAGGTCAGACTGGCAGCCTGTGATTGATGGACGATAAGACAAAGATGGGTGCCTTCCTGTCTGTGCAGCTCATAGTTTTTTTCATTACACAAGGAGGAATCTAAAATGTTGGCAGATTTTACTTTTACTAAGCTTCAACCTTAAAGACTTTCATACATAATGCCAAAAGGCCTCATATTTTACAGTTATAATGGTTCCATCTCAGAAATAGAACATAGTGGAGGATGTTTGATAAATACTTCCTTGCAAAGGCATTTAGATTGTTTATACTTTTCACAATTTGGTTACATAACATCCACAACCCTCATCTGTTATACAACAATATCCCAAGCTTTCAACATCTTTCGATGGAGCCTCTTTTCTCCAGGATCTGAATGATTTACTTTTGATCCCCGCCAAGGAGGTTTTATTGTTACCCGTTTGTCTGTCTTTGTACAGAATAACCTGAAAAAATATCAACAGATCAGTCCACCTCAGTCCAAAGAAAACCATTAAAACTCGTTGATAATCCACATCATAATCCGGATGTAGGAATTTTTTTTAATGGTTCTTTAAAGCCGGGTATACACTGTGTGATTTTTTTTTTTCAATCGTTGCACTGTACGACGTCATACAGTGTGAGTTCACACCTCACGATGCATGTTCTCACACTGTGCGACCCGACGCTCTGATGCGATCTACCTGCTCACTCTGTACGTCTAAAAACCACGTGGGATTCAGCTCCGCAGTGAGATGGAACTACTCTGACGCATCTATCCAGAAGCCAAACTAGTAGAAGAAGAATATAAAGCCTCACTAGAGTGAAACGCACTGCCTTGGCAATTTGGGCAAGTTTGTGTGCTGAAAGCCCTGAAAAGAAAAGACGACGACATATATAGACAAAGACATGGCTGAGCTAACGTGGCTACTACGGTCTGTCAGTTTTACAGAAAGAACTCCATTTCACTCGCACCCCCACCATGCTTCTTTGTTTTCTTCTGAGAGGAAGAAGAGGAATCATTGTTTGTGCACGCCCACTGAGCGATTTGTCTACGACGGCCAACTGGATTTCTAATATGTTTGATTTTCTCCCGACCTCACAATTCCTGATTGGGAGTTGGTCGTGAGAGGCTGATCGCCCCTCATTACCCCTGTACACTACACGACGCACAATCAGGAAAGATTCTCGCATGACTGGAAAGTCGGCCTTAAAAGGTAAAAAAATCGTACAGTGTATGCCCGGCTTAACATTATTTGTCAGAACAACCAGAGAGTGGTAGCGGTTACTATTGACAACCTCAGCATCGGACTGAAAAAAAGTCCAGAAGTATTGGACAAAAAAACTTAGTAAAGGAGAGCCTTGCCTCGCTCAAAGTCTCAATCTGCTGATCAAATAGGAAAAGAGTGAATGAAGAAGGTGGGAAGATAATATTTGGTAATGATCCAGATCATTTGCAAGTCTTAGCTATAAATGTAAGTCAAGATATGGGGCAAAATTTGCTGCTTGGTGGAGATCTGTGCTCTCTGATTGCTTTTCTAGTTATTCGTCAAATCATGAGTGACAAAAAGGAAAAATGCTGCAAATTACTAAAGTTCCAAATCTTCACGTCGTTGTAATTTGTTATAATGGTCCTGTTAAAGCCCAGCCTAGCATAAAAATATTTGGCAAGATCTGATAATTGGTTTTCACATATGCTATCCATTCAACCTGAGTTTAAGCCACTAAGGGAAGAAGAGGCTAAATTTATTAGATGTGGAAACCTGGTAAAAACATTTCAAAGGAATCGTTGCTCTCTTTGAAGACAGAGATGCTTCTATAAAGATCTGATTCAGAGGATAAATTCAATGGCTTCTGATGTTACTTTTTATGTATATGTCATGTTCCCTATGCCCTAACAAAATAAATTGAACTTTATGGTTGAAACTTGAGAAAATAAAAAAAAAGTACAAGACCTGATCATGACCTTTCCACTGCCCTAACAGCATAAACCTTCAGAGTGAAAAATCTAATCTAGATCAGCTCATGAGGGTCTGTTAATTAGAATATAGAATCACATATTCTCAGCATTTTATAACTTTTGTTTAAAAATTATTGTTTCAATTAAATATTTTCTTTATGAGTTTTGTATATTTATATATATATTTTTTTTTTACCAATAATTTAACTATATGCCACAGGTTCAGTGCTACGATCCAGAATCTAACAGCTGGTCACTCCGTGCCAGCATCCCCATCGCTAAGCGTTGCATCACAGCAGTGTCCCTAAACAGCATGATCTACGTCTGCGGTGGCCTTACGGAGTCCATTTACTGCTACGACCCGGCACAAGACTACTGGATGCTTGTGGGCCAGACCTCTTCCAAACAGGTGACTGGTTAGGTTCTGATCATTTCAGAGTCAGTGTGCAAACTATGTACATATTTTACATAAACTCAAGCAGCCTTTTGAAATGTTTGTTTTTGTCATATTCACAGGAGAGTTGTGGCATGTCTGTAGTTAACGGAAAGATCTATATCCTCGGTGGCCAAGGGGAAAATGGTGAAGCCACGGATAAAATCCTATGTTACGACCCATCAACAGGAGACCTGACAGGAGAGCGAGGCATGCCCCGGCCAATATGCTACCACGGATGTGTAACCATTCACCGCTATTTTGAAAAAAATAAGCCATGACTCTAAACACAGAAACTCAGACAAGCAACATGTGACACACTAAGATAGCCAAACTGTACTTAGACATCTACATCTATTAAACAGCACACATACTGTATAAATGAGTCTAAATCAAAAATTATTTCTTTACATCTTTTTGTAGCAGTGCTCTCTGTAGTACTCTGAATCCTGAATGCTGATCTGAACTTTTTTTTTTTTTTTTCAAAAGCACACTAAGATATACCCTATTAAAAGGTTCCTGGTGTTTAAATACATCAGAACAAACCCCAGCACTGATTACAAATATCTATTTAAATAAAAATTTACTGTTTTTTTAGTCTTCAGTTTGTATATGAGCCAAAATGTGGGCGACAGTCAACCAGCTGTGCTGCACCAGTATCAGATGTCCTCCATAGAAGCTCTAAAGAGAAGCCCTACCAAATTATTAAACACTGGTCACTGATGGCTACACTTTATTTCAGTTTTCTAATCCCACTTCACTTTGTGTCCCTTCACCTGATCCACCGTGTTTCATCAACTCAGTTTATTTTCATCAGTACCGTTTGTGTTCTCTATTATGATCATTTTTTTATATATTCCTTTAATTTATACTTGTTTTTTGATTCTTTTTTTATAAGAGCATGTTATATTGTTTGGTGTGTCTGATTAGTATTACTGTTAGCTTATTGGTGTACAGGGCATGTGGGTGGGTTTTCGTTAGGAACCTTTTTTGAACAACCTCAAGGATTGCTCTGATTGGCTGATGTGTGAGTGAGTGATAGGTTTGGATGTTTGACTGATGTTATGACTCAGACAGGGCGGATGAGTTGGAGCCAAGCAGGTTTGTCATCATGTTGTAGCGCCACAACCCCAAGCTCTTTTTTTAAAGCTGGCTTCTCTCACTTAAGCATTTACATGCAGGGACGTTAGTCTGGGTAACCTTGGATGGATGGGTTATTGCCTGGTTAGGGTGTGCTGCGTTAGTATACCTCACACATAGGGTTAAGAGTTCATGCTAAGGATTTAAAACTCTGAAGCTGTCTATGACCTTTTTATGCAAATCTGTAGCGGTAAAACAGAGAAATTGCTGTGAATATAACTATTGTTTTCCGTTTTGTATGTAGATGATGTTTTTGTTGCATATTGTGTTTCTATAACAGCCCCAATTGTGCACTTTGACAAAACCTTTTTAAATCTAGAGAGATATTGGTTTCTGTTTTTTTTTTTTTAAACAGATTTTTGCTTTCATGGAAAATGCCTTTTATGGTTTGAGGTTTTTAAAAAATGACAACAACTTTGGAGAGTTTCTTACCTTTTTATCCACTACAACAATTTATGAAGTTATTACCATTAGAGATGCAAAACTTACAGATTGACATGAAAAGGTTGCACTTGTTTTTATTTTCAAAATTAAAAGAAGCTGGTTGGGGTTATTTGTCTTTACAGATATATTTCAAGACAGCTTTACTCGGTGTTAGTCCATAAGGTGATCTTTTTGATGATTTTCCTCTTCTCCGATTGTTAAGTAACATGTTATCTCAAACGGCCGACTGGAAGGTTAAAGGTTGAGGGCAGAATGATGCTACAAACGATGAGTAAAATAGAACAAGAGACGTTAGATGTGCCTGTATTTGAGATTTTACTGAGTATTTACCCAAATATGGGACCTATATCGTGATTTATTGGTTTTGCAATTGACTTTCAGTTATTACCTGCTTGTAATGAGCCTTTTTACTATCATGTCGTTTAATCAGTTATTTTCTTCTTGTAAAGTGGTGTGGCTTTGTGTTGTTAGTATGCAGTCATTCCAACAGGTTAAATGATTTATTTGATAATAGTGACTGGAAGTGATATGCAAAAAATTAAAATTGATTAACCATTCATTATAAATCCAGATATCAACCAAAGTTAATTGATTTTGTCCCAGTTAATATTTGTTGGAACATAATTGATTGTGCCTGAATGCAAGATGAAAGCTTTAACATGATATATTTTGTGCAGTATGCCTTAAAAAAACACAAAAATGTAATGACAGGTCTCTACTAATGGGCCTTTTTGATATGTTTATTGTATGCATGATGTAAGGCAAACACAGTTTGGATTCTGATGAACTATCCTATACTGTAAGAGAAACATCAATAAACTCTCTCTATCAATGTTTGGTCCTTTGTCATGTGGTTGTAATCGAGGCTGTAATCACATTCAGAGTAACAGGCAACATGAAGGTATTAGTATTAAGAGTCATAATGCAACAAAAGTTAAGTGTGTGAGCAATTGGTCAACAAGAGAGAGGTTGTATGGATCCTCTTCATTACATATTCATAATTAATGTGTAGTTCAAAGCTGGTTTATGTTCCACATTGATTCCTTTATCCCATTCAAAGTAAATCAAACTGTGTCTGTGGTAGTTTTACATTCACTTATCACTGATGTAAACACATCATTTCTGGTTCTGATAATACATTTTAACAGTTTTTTTCCCCAGTGGATCTATTTTTTAAATAAGTACAGAAGTTCAAACATAATGCCATTTAAATCAACATTGTTAAAAAGCTATACAAACAGGCTCTAATACAGACGTATACCACTAATAATATTCTAAAAGGACCTTTTAGAATATTATTAGTGGTGTACGCCTGTACCTTTTAAAAAGGTGCTAAGATGTAACCCAGAGGAACTACATGCTTTATGTATGGCTAGCCATTTGAACACATTTCCTCTCAGAAATAGTTTAATTAAACTAACTGGTTTGTTTAACAGAGATTAAAAATTGGTCACACAAATGTGGACCTTAGAAAATGTATAAGAATAACATACAACTTAAGAGTTAAAAGATAAACAATAAAATACTGTAATGTAAAGTGTTTTAACAATATAAAAAAACTGCACCTGGAGAATAAATAATCAATATACAGCTATGTACATTTTTGAAGTAACAGATATTTGAAAACGGCAACATCAGAGATGTGCAAAATGACAGCAGCATGTTATTTAATTGACTAATGTAGAAACTTTGCAAAATCAGCTTGAATGTAACAACCTTTTGAGGTTTCTGGGAACAGTGGTGCTTATAGAGTCTTACAGCTGCTAGGAGGAAGGATCTGTGAAATTGAAGAAGATGAGGGTAAAACCTGTATTATTCCACCCTCAGCATTTACTGCCACAAACAGAAAAGCGGGGCCTGGGGGTGATGCTTTGCTTCCTTTACAGCTGACATAGAGTTATCTTTGAAATCCTCATCTTAATTCTTTTTTTCACCTGATCATAAACCTACATCCAGAGAACAATACATATCCACGTAGGCAGCTCTAATTTTCAGTGATGCTCTGCCTTATTATTCTATAACATTTATTTCTATAAGAGGAGTGATACTTTGGGTGAGGACAGTGACCCCTGTTAAAGGAAAAACGTATGACCTAAATCCTGTGTAAAACATGAATGCAAGCTGGTTTTGCACCAGAATGCAACCAGTATTCTACTGTATCTGATGAACCTGATCTTAGTCTTATCAGATCAGGAAAGTTTTCTCCAGGAAGTATTTGGCATGTCTATGCCAGCAGCTGATCATTTCCATGAGCTTAAAGGTGTTACATTTTAGGTAACACTCTTTTGTCAGCATGTTTGGATGTTAATGTTTCATTACTTCAGCTGATATTAGTTGCATCCCACTATATTTGATAGGTATTTTAATTCCTGAACATGTAAATTAGTTTTCTTCCATGTTGAGGTTGATTGAGACATGGACTCATTTGGTTTGGGCAGGCTTAAATTAAACTCCTGGTATGCCCTGCCCAAAGCCACAGCCTTAAATCATATGGACGTTTTATGGATTATAAATAAAAGCATATTAGTGCCAGCAAAACAATTGCTTTGAATGAGCTGTGTAATTGCTGATATATCCAGGCAGAATTATCCCAGGATATTGCTCAGACATAATATGATTTCTCTGCCAATTTATAAAAGAAATATAGCTAAATATCAGTAGGTGTGTATTTTATATTTTAGTTCCTATGTGCAATTTTGGAGAAGAAAAAAAATCCATTCAATTTACACTTTTGCACATAGGTTTGTTTTCATACTGTAGTTTGCACTGCATTCAGAGATGTACCACAGATTAGTTTTTGTTTTGTTGTTTTTTGTTTTTTTTTGCCTCCCACTCAGACAGACTCCATTCTGTGTTGTCTCCTTCTCATGGCTGTTGATGGTTTGAGTCGACCAAGGGATGAATTAATCATGCTGGTGACGTTTTGATGAGTTATTGTGTTGAACAAGGGGACGTATGGCTCTGAACCAGCTGCACAGCACTCAATAAAGATTGAGCAACTCTAGCGCAAATAGAAATTCACTGAGCTTTTTACGTCCTATATGACTTGAAGCATACATTCCACATTGTGGTTTGATAAAACCACCAAATTGTTTTTCTCACAGAGCTTTACAGACATGGGGCACATTAATTATCAGCAATATGTAAAGTTCCCAAAAGCTTATTAGAACGAACAAAGCAATGAGTATAAATGATAATAACAATAATAAGAACTTTATTGATCTCACACTGGAGAATTTAATTATCTGCATTTAACTCATCCCCTTAGAGAGCAGTGGGGTGCAATCGCGAGGCGCCCAGGGAGCAGTGTGGGTTTAGGGTCTTGCTCAGGGCCCCAGAGTGCAGACTGTGGGGATCAAATCGGATACTTTCAAATTTCTCTGAGCACAAGCGCACTGCTCTAACCACTAGACCAACGCTCCCATATTAGCTTATTCCCTAGAATAAGCTTTAGGGAATGTTATATATAATTAATATATACAGTTCCAAAACATTTCTTGCTTGCTTTGCTTTGATTATTAAGCCAGGTGGTATTTTGAAATATATATATCCTAATGCAAGAAATTCCCCATGTAACTTCATTACAAGGGGTTATGAAGAGTCTGTAACAGATCAACCTTTGCAGACATGAAAAAGCAGAAAGTTTATTTTTTTGGGATAAACAGGTATTTGGCAAAATTTTATCAACACTTTTATCAAGAAAAAGCTGTGACCCTCGTAAAAGACCTGAATTGTTTGATTTAAATCGTTTTATTTGAAAAGCACTTACATTAAATGTCATCTCGTGTAGTTACAGAGATCCCTATGATTCACATGACAGCAACATTGCCTTTATTTGCCCGTTAACACTTGAATAATACCAAGGTTAAACATAAGGATAAGAAATGAATCTTCACATGCATCATAGAGGAGGTCAGCAGAGTAAAGTTGAAAGGCCAGAGAGGCTATCTTTATTCCAAATAAAGAAAAATCTTTTCCGCATGTTAAGAGAGAATCATTTTTCTGGATAACTTGCAACATTTCTGATAACATACATAAAAAAAAGATGGAAGCTAAAATGAAAGAAAGATAACTGTAAGGCTCGCATGTTGAACTGATGGTATCTGGGTAATCTTAGGTATGATCTTTAGAAATCCGCAATTCTTTCGGTCTTGTCTGGAATATGAAGCATAGTTAACACCTAACAGGTCACTGAATACATTAGAAAAGGAGTCTAACTTTTAAGGAACAACAACAATATCCGCATTTCTACCCTACAGGAAATCTGTATTTAAGTTTCTGTCAGTGTTTGTCAAGTCACATAAAAAAGCATTCCTACATAGTGTGACACAGAGGGTTATAGTAAACTGTAAACAAAGCTTTTTTTTAATGGCTTTTATGTTAAACTTCTCCATAAACTTTATCTCTGATCTTTCTATTGCATTTTTGGTATATGTTGTTTGTTTTTCAGGGCCCTTTAACAAACCTCTAAGACTCTAAGTGAATACTACCTGTTACAATCCATAAAATATATATTAATGTTTTTTACATTTTACATCTCCTCTAAGATGCTTCTTCTTCATCTTTATGTATGGGTTTTTTGAACCTTTATTTATGTATTATATGTGCATTTGTATCTTGTGTGGCCCAGATAAATGACATAATGGCGACATAATGGCTTTTAAATGTACTGATTTTTTTCTTTAAAAGATCAATAAGGGGCTAGATACAGTGGTGTACCCTGCATTTCCATACAAAAAATGCTAATTTTCTTTAATTCAAATTATATGCTAGTCTGTGTTTGTACATCACATTAAATCCCGATAATAGTCAAATTGTTTATGGTTGGAGTGTGGCATGTTGCTTGCAATTTCAATATATATAACATTTTATTAGTGAGAGGAGCAGCAAATTTTTACCTTAAAATGTAAAGAAAAAAGTTCATCTAGTTTGTTATTCTAATAATTTTTTGCAATACTCAGTTGGCTATATTAGTAAAAAGTTACATTTCAGGATAGCATGGGGTAAAATTTAACAAACATAGGCAGTTCTGGACAGGGGCCCCTGTTGGCCCCTGTTATGGCATCGAAAACATATCATTAAATCAATTTCTTATGAAGATATGCACTGTAACTGCCTGATCCAGTGGTCCAATTTTATCTTTTACCATTACAGTTTACTTAGAGCATTTATTTAAAAAATAGAATGTGGGACCTTAAGATTCAGACATATCAATATAGGATCCTAGTTTTTATCTGTTAGATAATGGGTCTGCAACATTGGCTTTTAGTCTCCCAATATGATATTGCCCTGTTTCTTTTATTTTCTTTTATTTTTTGGTGCTATTCTTTTATTATGTGCCCCAACCTGGCCCCCATAGTAAATTTGATCGAGGACCGTCACTCATGACAAAGTAAATGCAAAATTTCCATGAAGATGTTTGTGTTGTTGTCTGTAAAAAAAAACAACTTTTTTGGGAATTTGCTTTCAGAATTAGATATGCAAGGCTAAAATGATTTCTGAAGAATAAACCACAGGAATATTTTCTGAAATATTTGTGCTCCAGCATCTGATGGCAGTGATGTTAGAAACAGGATCCAATTATCATTCCAGTGTAAACTATGTAACCTCCTGCTTCCACTTTTATTTCTGAATACTTGTTTTACAGGTTTTGAAGTTGCGATGCAAGTCGCATTTATGATTAAAAGATACTCCCCTTTTCCAAAGAAGCACACGCATTAAAAGTCAAATATTTAATCACTTAAGTAGCAGACTCATTTGTAGAACGGCGACCCCTGGTGGCGGTGTTCTTGAAACGCAAGGCTAACTCTCCACTGCCCATTTAGCATACATATGTTGCTCGAGGTTTAGCAAATAGCAAGACACGAGCATTGGACGAGTGCAGCAAGGATATGCTCCCGTTGAGTTAAAATAAGCACTTTTCTCCACGTTACCACACATCACAGAGCACTCCAGTAAGTTTGTGTTTCATGTGGTTGAAATAGAAGGCTACAAACATGTGCTAATTGTTAGCTAAAATAGCAAACAAGGCTAGCGCGTCGGTTAGTGCTGCACGAACAACAGTCACACTATTTTTTATTAGGGTATTTATGTTATGTTTTATGCGAGTGATGCGATTTAAAGTGTTTGTTTAAAAGTAAAACCACGTGTTGCAAACATATTTCGTTGTGTGCTACAACGCTAGCTTCTATCACTGTAGTAGCTGTAGGTTTGGACTTCTCTACTTAGCATGGGATGCTAAGCTAACCAAACTTAGCTGTCCAAATGGCATAGAAGCGATTAGCTACCATTAGCCTGATATTCATTAAGCGTTATTCTATCTTTTTTGAAGGTAACAATGTCAGGAATTAAAAGGAAAATAGAAGGGAGTGATCCAGACTATGATGAAATTTCATTGGTTCAAAGTAATAAGAGAAACAAAACGGCAGAACATAATGGTAAGTTCATTTTTGTAAACAATTGCCCCTTTTTTGTGTGATTTTGATAAATCTAGAAATGCATTTTTTTTTCTCCAGCTCGTGAAGCGACAGTACAGAAGATTGAAGACATAATCAGAGAGCAGTTCTCTTTGGAAATGAAGAACAAAGAGCATGAAATAGATGTTATAAGCCAGGTTTGTGGTTACCAATAAAACAGACTTGATTTATCTTTGATCCATTTATTTTCTTCTGTGGTTGTAGAGCAAAATTTGCATAAATTATTATTGGAAATGTTCATTCAGAATGTGTTTGGTTAACTTTCCCTTTTATTATTTCTTTGCAGCGCCTAAATGAAGCCAGAAGGATGATGGACAAACTACGGGCATGCATAGTGGCCAATTACTTTGCCAGTGCTGGAATGACAAAGCCTCCAGAGGTATGTTTGAATAGTTTTAACACAAACTACTGTTATACTTTAAAGAGGAAAAAGTTTGCCCTTTGTCAGTTTATTCTCATCCCTAGGTTTGTCCCATATTCCTGCATTTATTCCCTGGCATAGTAGTTCATCTTATCTTTCTATACTATATTGACAAATGGTTATAAAGATGCTCAAATCAAGTTCAGAAGTTTTTTTGTTTAAAATATGGTTTCTTTTGATTGATTTTAGCTTGTCCTTGTTATCAGAGATAATGGCTGATCAATTTAAGACAAATGTGAGCTATTTCTTTTTGTAGATTATGTATAACATCATTATGTATGTCACAGGCTAGATATGAAGAGGATATGAAAAACTACCCCTGTTTTGCATATGTTTAAATTTTGTATCTTGAGATTACAAAACACCCTAAACTGAAAAGATGTAAAATCGCAAAGGGGAAAAATGGTTTAGCATTGCAAAAGGTGAAAGTAATTTCTCTTCTTTATGTCCTAGCATACCTTGAAAAGTGACCCAGCAGTGTTGAACCATCCAGCCATCCGCCGCTTCTTGGAGTCTCCATCCCGTTCCTCATCCCCTCTCAACCAGGGCTCAGAGACACAATCCCTAGCCCATTCAGAGTGCGAATCTCTCTCACAGCAAGAAGATGGAGTGGAGAGAAACGGAGAGGGAATGTGGAAAGAGGAAAGCGGCAAGCAGGAGCGCAGACCAGGGCGAAACACTGGAAAAGTCAGTTTGATGCAATTGATAGGCACCAGGATCCTTCCATAGTTGTTTTTATGCTCTTTTAACCACATTTTCTAAATATTTTGTTTGTTTAGGACACGTTTGGTGTTCCTTCACCTATGGAAGCAGAGCAGAGGGTGACCTATCACACTACTGGTGATGAAGCCTCCAGACTCTATGTTAAGAAGACCATTGTTGTGGGAAACGTCTCCAAGTATGTAACAAACCCGGGCTCAATCTTGCTTTAAATCACCATCTTTCCGAGCACTGAGGAGCAGGTCCTTCCAACTTTGTGGCTAGGAGCCTGTCGAAATTGCTTATTAAGGGAAAAATATAATTCTTATCTAAACCTACAAAAGAACCTGAATATAAACAGGAGAAACTGGGATTAAACAAGAGGCAGCTCTTCCCTACAAAGACAGTATGACTAAATGTTTACATTAGTGACACAGTACACAAGGCATTTAGCCTGCAACTAAAAGGGCCCAAAAGTGCAGCTTCATACACTAAAAGGGCACTGCTAAACGATGATTGGCTAAAGACCCAGGAAGCGGCTCCTATTATCAAAGGAGGAGGCGGAGCCTAGGACAAAAACATGAGGTGTTCCTTCACTTAAAAATGCAGTTCCAGTTAATCTCCATTTAAAGGGAGGTGAATGAGCTGGCAGACTTATATGCTAAAAAAAACTAAACACAGAAAAACAAGTGGACATTACCATTAAGTACAATAAAGCATAAATTAAATCTATAGTTAAAACGTTGCTAGTGAAGAGCAGAGAATGTAAAGGGAAACATTTGTTTAGAATTCAAAAGAAGGTCAATCAAATAAGGAAGACAAATAAAAATAGAACGGAAGAGGATATTATTACAAGGTTGAGACTGAGACACACAGGACTTAATAATTTAATCCATGTAATACGGAAACACGTAATGGGCAACTTTATCAACCATGGAGACATATACCTAGAAATAAATTTGATCAAGAGAAGGTATGGAAGAAAAACAGTCTTATTGGAATCTGCCTTTTTTTTTTAAACCGAATTTTAAACACTGAATTTTTTTAACACCAAATTTTAAACACTGATTTTTTTTTTACACCAAATTTTAAACACTGAATTGTTTCAGACATTTTTTTATCAGTGGCTGGCGGCAAACTTTTTTTTTTTTTTTACACCAAATTTTAAACACTGAATTGTTTCAGACATTTTTTTATCAGTGGCTGGCGGCAAACTTTTTTTCTTCTTCATTTCGGCCAGCAGCTGGTTTTACTGCCGGCCGCTTCCTCCGGATCAAACCAAGAGCCTTGGCAGACAGGGGTGCCGTACTAGCTGTGATCAGCTCAGTTGTTTCACCCAGTCTGATAAGAGGAAGAACTCTTATAGCTGCCTGTTAGTAGCTAACTGACGTTTTGTAATTCTGTTTAACAAAAAAAAATTCCTCATTCAGCTGGGAACAGCGCTGAGCCCAGCCGTTGTGTCACGTGACCAAATGAGCTAATTTCATTGGCTAGAAGCTGCTCGACTCTATTGAGTGTAGATTGCTTTGGCTTCGGTTCAGCAAAAGGTCAACACATTTGCGGCTGAATTTTTGCAGCTGAATTTTTCTGGTGAGTTTTTTTCTGGTGAATTTTACCAGATAAAAATTAAGTGTGAGGAATTCAATGTCTAAAAAAATTCAGTGTTTAAAATTAGGTGTTAAAAAAATTCAGTGTTTAAAATTTGTTGTTAAAAAATTCAATGTTTAAAAAAGGCAGATTCCAATGAGACTATTTTTCTTCCATAAGAAGGTACAGTTAAATGTTTCTAGTTTACTGCATTTAGACTCGGCCCATGTAATAGTTAAGTATAGTTTTTTCATTTTTTAGGAAAATAGGTTTATATTATAGAATGTAGGTAAGTTTTAAATTCTGATCCACACTCCTATTCAGAAGGTGGCAGTAATGCGCACCTAAAAGTTGCTTGCCAACCGCCATTAAACAGAAGAGGATGATGTTCATTTAAAGGCTGAAAGAACTTGGCGAGGTTACATTTGTGATTGTAGGGTTAAAAAAAGGCTTTATTGGGGTTTCAAACTTTGAGACAAACTGGTTGGCTTGTCACTCATGTCTAGTCATTGTTGTGGAGACTTGACGACCTCCGGTTGTTGCTGTTGCTGCTGACATGAACATAGATTCTTGTCCAGCTTTTTCTGGCACACTTCACATCCTAATTATTGTTCTAGAGGGCAGGTTAAAGCGAGTAGCTGCTTGATCTAAATGTTTTCTTCTGTTAAAATATCTGACTATTTTGTTTCTTTAAAATATTAACCAGTTTGGCTCATTAATTTGATAAATAATTCATACATACATAAATAGATTTAGTTTTGTAATTATAAACAAAACAAAATGTTTCAAACTGTAGGTTTTATCTTTTTGACCTGGGGGTAGATGAAAAACTGTCATGAATGGGTGCCATGTGATTAAGATTTCAATCTTAAACAAACAAGAACAAAATGTACTTTAAATCAGTGGATGTTTGTGATCAGAACCACACGGACGAAATGCTGTTGTGCAACAGTTTGCTCCCAAGAGTCGAACCACGATTCTATTTAGCGACAAGCCCAGTCTTGATAAAGGTTGAAAACACGTTTCTATCTCATTCGTCTTCCCCTTGGGCCTGATGTGACCCACTGAATGCACAACAATTTCTGGAGGCTCAGCAATGTACTTTGAGATGAAAGATGGCATAATCCTTCAAAGCTCAGTGAATTATACTTCTGTAGCTTAAACTAACAGCATCAAAGGCCACATTCATCCTCTGTTGTGTTGTTCTCTTGTACATGATCAGTATCAACAGGTTTAAACATTTTCTTCCATGTACAGCTGTGTTTAAGTTGCATTACATAGATTATCCATTTATTGTTTTTAATCTGCATGTATTCTCTGTATCCCCATCCTCCCTTAAACTTTTATTCCCAATGTCGTCTGTTTACAGAATTATTTACAAAAAGGGGGAAATAGTCTTAAGCCATTTTTCCTGCTCCCATTTTTTCCAGACCTTTTTCTTATGTTTTAATTCTCTCTGTTTTTGTTTACTTGCTACTAGATACATCCCCCCAGATAAACGGGAAGAGAACGATCAGTCGACCCATAAGTGGATGGTTTATGTCAGAGGGTCCAGGAGAGAGCCGAGCATCGACCACTTTGTGAAGAAAGTCTGGTTCTTTTTGCACCCCAGCTACAAGCCTAATGATCTGGTGGAAGTCAGGTTTGTTCTTAGAGGATTTTCAAAACAGATCTGCATATACACCCTTCTCAACCTTGAGCTTGTTATTAGAGACAGGAGGAGTTCCTCCTCTTCTCATAGAAATCAGCCCTTGGCTGCTGTTTCATGTGGTTACCTGAGCCATCAATAGAAGTCAGACGAGGACCAACTGGTTGCAGGAAGTTTGCTCCCTGCCAGTGCTTTGTTGCCCATGGACACGATATTTGATTTGAACTTCTCTGTTGTTGCTCTGAGAAAGGGGGTTGCTCCTCCTCTTGTGAGACTAAGGAAAACTGCAAAACAAATCAGGAAAACACTTGCGTAATAGGAGGCAGAACTCATTAGCCGACATGTGATTCAGGGTTTTCAGATTAACCTCTTAGTGGATAAACACTTTGATGACTAGGCAGCAAGCAGAGCTCTAAGGAGACACTTAAACAAATAGTGCCCCCTTGTGAATTTATAATAACGAAGCACTTTATTTACTTTTCTCTTTTAAAGACAGTTTGTGCTTTTGGAGGTGATAGCAACCTTCTAGGTAATTAGATTAGAATTGAAATGTACTCTTCAGATTGTACAAACATACCATTAAATCAGTCTTGAATGAAAACAAATGATATTATAGTTTAATTTAAAATCTTACACTTAAAAAAAGCTCTTACTGCTTTACATATAATATCTCAGTAGTCGATACTGAGTTGTGGCCTCCGTGGTTGAAGCTCCCCTGATGCTGCTGCATCTCTTAAGCCCCCCCTGACCAAATTCAATTTTCACATTTGGTGAACCCAATGCTTAAACATCACCCTCTGCTAACTGTCAAATAGCCTCGGTCTTCACATGGGGATATAACTAAAATGAAACCTTTGATTAGTTGGCCAGATTTCAGCAGAATTGTTACATGAACCAAAAATCACATGGCTTATAAGGATTTTAATATCTTCACTGATTTTTAGGAGTTAATCAACTGAATACCAGCCAGTATTTTATCTTAAAGGTGTTGTGGAAGAAAAGCTGTAGATTAGAATTCTGGTGACGTTTAATCTGGGATTTTTTGATGTGCCTGCCTCCAGCGAGCCTCCCTTTCATTTAACGAGACGCGGATGGGGGGAGTTTCCTGTGAGAATCCAGATCCACTTCAAAGACTCTCGCAACAAACGCATCGACATCATCCACCCGTTAAAGGTCAGATCTCATCACAGTTCACATTAACGTTGAGGTTGCTCACAGTTCATTGTCAAAGTTCATTGTCAAAGTAAACCCCCCCACACACACACACACACACACCCTGCCCCCCGAACTTTTGACCTCCAGGCTACAAACATAAACATATAAAATTGCCATTCTTTTGTGATGTCAAAAAATTGGACATGTTAAACCTTTTAACAAATATTTAAAAAAAAAACTGAAAAAAAAAAAAATTGTTGTGCAGAATTATTCAGCCCCTTGAATTAATAATTTGTAGGGCCAGCTTTTGCTGCGATTACAGCTGCAAGTCACTTGGGCTATGTCTCTATTAGTTTTGCACATCGAGCGACTGATATTTTTGCCCATTCTTCCTGCAGAACAGCTGGAGCTCAGTGAGGTTGGATGCAGAGCGTTTGTGAACAGCAAATTCTCTATAGGGATCTGGTCTGAACTTTGACTTGACCATTCTAACACCTGGATATGTTTAGTTGTGAACCATTCCATTATGTAACAAACGATATGTAACAATTTTCCAATCGCTATTCGTCAGTCCAACAAATGGCGATGAACGATATTAGACTTAGACTTAATTGTAATTTTTTATACACAGTGTATACAAAAAGAAATTTCATTATTTCGATATATTTGTGCAGGTGACTTTGTGGACACAGACAAGCAGAGTGCGTCTTCTGCACCACTCTTAATATTGTTAAGCACCTGCGCACACTCATACGACTCAATATGGTTGCTTGTTTTCTTGTCAAAAATGTGTACGTTTTGTCAAGTGGGAATCGTTTACTCTTATAGTTTTCTCATTATTGTTTTTTGATCGTTATTCGTTTATCTTAATACGCAAGATTGAACAGACTGACAATGTTTTTTATTTTTGTGTTGTATAATTTAATATTTGTTGTTTTAAAATCAAATCCGTAACAGATGGGGCGGGATGTTAACACACTTAGAAAAAAAAAAGGAAATGGCCTTTCTCCGCTTCTGGCTTGGCTATTTAAAAAAAAAAAAACTTCTATGGTTTGGATCAGTTCTTTGTTTCTGTCTCAAGTTTAGGTAGATAAATTGCTGCTGCACGGTGGATTCACATAGAATTCTTATACAAACCACCCGGAGAAGCAGCGAGCAGTGAGCTCTACGCAGTAAGGACGTTCACCTCACCTCATGCTACTAGATAGAGCTGAGGTCAAACAGCAGCACCACATGGAGAGGGCAAAGCGCGGATCGCTTAAGCTGAAATGAGCTGAACTTTTGAAATCAGACCTGCGTCTGGAAGAACCAAAGTTGACTTTTTTTTTTTCAGAGCTTTTGTGACTTTTCCAAAATATGATGGTCTCTCCAAGGTGATTCAAAAGTTGTGCATTGAGAAAAATTTTGCAGCAGTCCATCATGTTAAGTTTCACCTGTGCTTTTGTTTTGAAATCCTGGCAGCGAGACCTCAACAGGAAATGACTTAGGGTTGCCAGGGGTAATGACAGGTCCAAAGCAAAAAGTCTGGGAGGCTGGTGATCCAGCCTCTAAATAAGGTAAACATGCTCACTAGGGGTGGAACGGTTCACAAAATCCTTGGTTCGGTTCGGTTC